GGTAGTGGTGGTGGTCTGCAAATGAAACATCTATTAACACTAATTTACCTATTATTTATTATTATTATTATTATTATTTATGACAAGTATCCTATTTCACCTATGTATGTGTGACATTTCAATTTTCACCCCACACCCACACCCACAGTTCGCTTCGTAGTAATTTTTACATAGGTCTTTTAACCTGCTAGTACTAGTACTACGTATCCGAAATTTTGATCTAATATCCCCTCTTATTTTTTGTGTTTTGTGTGTTTTCAGTAATAAGCGGCTTGTCATCATCATCATCAGGCTAAATGAAACGTTATCACATCATGGTGAAATATTGCAAAACATACATACATAAATTGTCACAGACAAGTATAATGTAATCTACAGATAGTACTAGTAGTAGTGCATACATACATTGATAATGGTGAGTGCCTGATACATTTTTTTTTGTCTGAAATGTACACTATTTCTCCTCATAAATCCTTTCGGTTAGACATTTTCGACCTCATCTGATGATTTTCTCAAGACTATTATTATTGTATAACCGAAATTTTGTCATGACATTTCGTAACATTTGACACTGACGAGATATATATGTATATATTTTATACCTACCTGACTGACTCATTAGTAGAATGCATCAGCACACAGTGCACTACATTACACTACACTACATTAACCCCGTCACTCCACTCCACACCACCACACCCTCTCTCTATATTTGGTTTGAAAATTTTTTTTAGCTTTTCATAATTAATAATAATAATAATAATAATAATAATAATGGACTACTTATCACCCACCACCCTCTCCGTCTGTGACAGTTATTTGTCATCCCTCCCTGCCTCCCTCCCTTTACCTAGTACTGTGATAAAAACTACTAATAATCTTATTCGTTCGAATAGACCAATCATACACCATCATTAATTATGTGTAATGTAATTCTCTGACCTGTCGACAAGCCTATAGCCATCACACTACCTATTTTATTATTATTATTATTATTATTATTATTATTACTATGATTCGCATAGTTGGTTTGTAAGGATTAAATAGTGTTTTTACGAGTTTCACCACGCACGCACGCAGGCACGCACGGATTGATATCAATCAGTCAGTTTTCACCGAAGATGGATTGAAAGCCAACCAGCATTGCGGGAAGTACTGGACGGACGGACAGCCAGCTTTATCATCAGCCTAGTTTGGATGGGAATCATTGGCAGTAGTAGTAGTAGTAGTAGTAGTAGTAGTACGCAGTACCCACCTCAATGGGTGGTTGGATTCGAACCCAGCCAGTCCAACTAGCTGGCTTGTAAACCATCCACTACCAGCCACTACTCACTGGGATCCGCCGACCCCATTCATCAACGCATGACGAACGCATGAATTCTAACCAATTTTACCAATTCGTCGGTGGTCATCGGTGGTGATCCATCAATTGGAAATCAATCAATCAATCCATGGCCAACACACAATTGACTGTTTGGACCTCACCGTGTGTGTGTAAAACTGACTACCTGACTGACACATTTGCAGATGGATTAATTAATTTCTGGGTAAGTAGGTCTGTCTGTAAGCCTGTCTGTCTATCTATTTGTCTATTTCATTAATTTAATAACATTAATTATGCCCAAATACGTACGTACGTACGTACGTAATAGTTTTTCTTCTTATTTATCCTTGCACTGGCCTTAAATTGCCATTTCTCAGTACTCACTGCACTCACTCACTCACTCACTCACTAGTTAAGCATACTGTAATGCTTGTTTTATTTTATTTCAACACTAAAGGCACTATTATTATTATTATTATTATTATTATTAATTCAGCTGCAAATCCTACTCCGTCATAATTACAACTACAGAAATAAGTAGTAAGCTTCATTTGATGGAAGGAAGGAAGGAAGGAAGCTTACATCTCATTATCTCATAGAAGGCATAGGGCAGGCACAATGATGAACTTTGTAAATATTTATATGAGAAGGTAATATACAGGCACCTATTTATCTATCTGTCTATTTGCGATCGATCCAGTCATCAGTCATTTTGAAAAAAATAAATACAGGTATAATATTGATTTTTAGTGATTAGTCATCTGATGAGAATAGAAATCATGGCTTATATTATTATTATTATTATTATTATTATTATTATTATTATTAGTAGTAGTAGTAGTAGTAGTAGTAGTAGTAGTAGTAGTAGTAGTAGTAGTAGTAGTAGTAGTAGTAGTAGTAGTAGTAGTAGTAGTAGTAGTAGTAGTAGTAGTAGTAGTAGTAGTAGTAGTAGTAGTAGTAGTAGTAGTAGTAGTAGTAGTAGTAGTAGTAGTAGTAGTAGTAGTAGTAGTAGTAGTAGTAGTAGTAGTAGTAGTAGTAGTAGTACGCAGTACCCACCTCAATGGGTGGTTGGATTCGAACCCAGCCAGTCCAACTAGCTGGCTTGTAAACCATCCACTACCAGCCACTACTCACTGGGATCCGCCGACCCCATTCATCAACGCATGACGAACGCATGAATTCTAACCAATTTTACCAATTCGTCGGTGGTCATCGGTGGTGATCCATCAATTGGAAATCAATCAATCAATCCATGGCCAACACACAATTGACTGTTTGGACCTCACCGTGTGTGTGTAAAACTGACTACCTGACTGACACATTTGCAGATGGATTAATTAATTTCTGGGTAAGTAGGTCTGTCTGTAAGCCTGTCTGTCTATCTATTTGTCTATTTCATTAATTTAATAACATTAATTATGCCCAAATACGTACGTACGTACGTACGTAATAGTTTTTCTTCTTATTTATCCTTGCACTGGCCTTAAATTGCCATTTCTCAGTACTCACTGCACTCACTCACTCACTCACTCACTAGTTAAGCATACTGTAATGCTTGTTTTATTTTATTTCAACACTAAAGGCACTATTATTATTATTATTATTATTATTATTAATTCAGTTGCAAATCCTACTCCGTCATAATTACAACTACAGAAATAAGTAGTAAGCTTCATTTGAAGGAAGGAAGGAAGGAAGGAAGCTTACATCTCATTATCTCATAGAAGGCATAGGGCAGGCACAATGATGAACTTTGTAAATATTTATATGAGAAGGTAATATACAGGCACCTATTTATCTATCTGTCTATTTGCGATCGATCCAGTCATCAGTCATTTTGAAAAAAATAAATACAGGTATAATATTGATTTTTAGTGATTAGTCATCTGATGAGAATAGAAATCATGGCTTATATTATTATTATTATTATTATTATTATTATTATTATTAGTAGTAGTAGTAGTAGTAGTAGTAGTAGTAGTAGTAGTAGTAGTAGTAGTAGTAGTAGTAGTAGTAGTAGTAGTAGTAGTAGTAGTAGTAGTAGTAGTAGTAGTAGTAGTAGTAGTAGTAGTAGTAGTAGTAGTAGTAGTAGTAGTAGTAGTAGTAGTAGTAGTAGTAGTAGTAGTAGTAGTAGTAGTAGTAGTAGTAGTAGTAGTAGTAGTAGTAGTAGTAGTAGTAGTAGTAGTAGTAGTAGTAGTAGTAGTAGTAGTAGTAGTAGTAGTAGTAGTAGTAGTAGTAGTAGTAGTAGTAGTAGTAGTAGTAGTAGTAGTAGTAGTAGTAGTAGTAGTAGTAGTAGTAGTAGTAGTAGTAGTAGTAGTAGTAGTAGTAGTAGTAGTAGTAGTAGTAGTAGTAGTAGTAGTAGTAGTAGTAGTAGTAGTAGTAGTAGTAGTAGTAGTAGTAGTAGTAGTAGTAGTAGTAGTAGTAGTAGTAGTAGTAGTAGTAGTAGTAGTAGTAGTAGTAGTAGTAGTAGTAGTAGTAGTAGTAGTAGTAGTAGTAGTAGTAGTAGTAGTAGTAGTAGTAGTAGTAGTAGTAGTAGTAGTAGTAGTAGTAGTAGTAGTAGTAGTAGTAGTAGTAGTAGTAGTAGTAGTAGTAGTAGTAGTAGTAGTAGTAGTAGTAGTAGTAGTAGTAGTAGTAGTAGTAGTAGTAGTAGTAGTAGTAGTAGTAGTAGTAGTAGTAGTAGTAGTAGTAGTAGTAGTAGTATTCCTTAATTCCTTGCTTGGATTGTAAATTTTAAATTTTAGCAAATTTTAGATAATAAATGACTTTTAATTTGAAGCAATTAAATTGTATTAGTTAAAGGGAGGGAGGGAGGGAGGATAGACTACATCATAATCTGACATGAATATTTATGTATCAGTTAGAGAGAAAGAAGCATTGTAAAAAAACTAACTGGGTGGTGCTGGTGCTGCTGTGGGTATTGGACAGCCAGTTGTTTCTTCAGCCTAGTTTGAGACACTTCAGCAATACGCTTGCTTGCCTTGTAACTAGAAGGTGGTGCTAGGTTCGAGCCCTGGTGGTTTACACACAATGATAAGTTCTTGTTTGTTCTTGTTTGTTGAATTACAAAACAGAAAAGCAGCAATTCAAACACACACACACACACACACACATACACACAGTTGGTGAGTGATGATCTCGGGCAGTAGGTTTGCTCAAAATATACTACCAAAAACGAACAGACAATCAACACAAACAGAACTTATCATTGTGTGTAAACTACTGAAATATATTATATTATTATTATTATTATTATTATTATTATTATTATGTTATGTAGTGATCAACAACAACACATTTTACTGACATTAACTACTAATCTGGGATAATGACTACTACAACTACAGAAATAAAAAATAATACTTCATTCATTGAAATGAAGCTAGCCTACTTACTACCTAAGCTAACGTTAAATCTCACATAGGTAGTATTTTATAGATATAGACAGATAGGTAGGTATAGAAAGGGGTGGCGGCGTCAACTAACAATAATTATACAGCTCATAAACAACAATTGTAGTAAAATGTTGCGGTACTTACTTACTTACTTCCCTCTTCGGTCCGGTCCAGTCCGGTGTTGTTGTTGTTGTTGTTGTTGTTGTTAGTGTCTTCATTTTTATAATATATGTACTTTGATAACAGCGTCTTGAAATGACTAAATGTGGGAAATATAACAAAGGTGGTAATATATCATCCATCCATCCATCCCTTGGCACCTCTCTCTTCCTTGTATGCGCGCGCGTTGCATTCATTCACATTTCCAGAAATTGCAATCACTAAAAGCTGCATCTTGTTTGTAACCGTTGTTTTTCTTTCATGTTTTCAGTAAATTTTGGACTAGTTGTCGTATCATCCCATCGACCAAGGCGGCGGCGGCGGCGGCGTTATGCATTCATTATTCATGCAGTTTACCAGAAAAGCATCTCCTGCCTGTCTCACAATTTGCTGCTGCTGCTGCACCTCTTCTTCTTCTCCTTCAATATCTCCCACATTATCAGAGTTGATTTCCTGCTCCTCTGCCTCATGATGATGATGTTGCTGTGAATAAAAATGGATAATCAGTCTACACGAAATATATCACTCGTTCGCTCGGTCACCTACATGCTTAATAAATTCTGTAATAATGGTCTTTGAATGTAAGCATCACAGCTTATATACCTCTCTCTCTAGCCAGACATCATCACGCCCCCACCCCCACCTCCACACAAACACACACACACACACATTTCCCCCCTTTATTTCACATTTGTATTAGTTAGTTAGTCAATTAGGTTTGCATATATATGTATGACCTGATATGTGTGACGGTAGTGGTGGTGGCGGTGGTGGTGGTCTGCAAATGAAACATCTATTAACACTAATTTACCTATTATTATTATTATTATTATTATTATTATTATTATTATTTATGACAAGTATCCTATTATTTCACCTATGTATGTGTGACATTTCAATTTTCACCCCCCCCACACACACCCACACCCACAGTTCGGTTCGTATTAATTATTTTTTACATAGGTGTTTTAACCTGCTAGTAGTAGTACTATGTACCCGAAATTTTGATCTAATATCTCTTTTTTTTGTGTGTTTTGTTTTCAGTAATAAGCGGCTTGTCATCAGCATCAGACTAAGTGAAACGTTATCACATCATGATCAAATATTGCAAAACATACATAAATTGTGACAAGTATAATGTAATCTACAGATAGTACTAGTAGTAGTGCATACATACATTGATAATGGTGAGTGCCTGATACATTTTTTTGTCTGAAATGTACACTATTTCTCCTCATAAATCCTTTTTCGTTTGACATTTTCGACCTCATCTGATGATTTTCTCAAGACTATTGTTATATAACTGAAATTTTGTCATGACATTTCGTAACATTTCACACTGACGAGATATATATGTAATTTTTATACCTACCTGACTCACTAGTAGAATGTATCACACTGCACTACACTATACTACACCACATTAACCCTGTCACTCCACACCACCACACCCTCTCTCTATATATGGTTTGTAAATTTATTTTTAGCTTTTCATATTTGATAATAATAATAATAATAATAATGGACTACTTATCACCCACCACCCTCTCCGTCTGTGACAGTTATTTGTCTTCCCTCCCTCCCTCCCTTTACCTAGTACTGTGATAAAAACTACTAATCGTATTCGTTCGAATAGACCAATCATACACCATCATTTATGTGTAATGTAATTCTCTGACCTGTCGACAAGCCTATAGCCATCACACTACCTATTTTATTTTTATTATTAATATTAATATTAATATTAATATTATTATTATAACTATGATTCCCATAGTTGGTTTTTATGGATTAAATTTGTTTTTACGAGTTTGACCACGCAGGCACGCACGGATTGATATCAATCAGTTTTCACCGAAGGTGGATTTAAAACCAACTAGCATTGCGGGAAGTACTGGACGGACGGAAGAACAGCCAGCTGTTTCATCAGCCTCAATGGGTGGGTTCGAACCCAGCCAGTCCAACTAGCTGGCTCGTAAACCATCCACTAGTAGCCACTACTCACTGGGATCCGCCGACCCAATTCATCAACGCATGACGAACGCATGAATTCTAACCAATTTTACCAATTCGTGATGCATTTCCCTGTGACTGGCACCAATCAATCGTCGGTGGTCATCGGTGGTGATCCATCAATTGGAAATCAATCAATCAATCCATGGCCAACACACAATTGACTGTTTGGACCTCACCGTGTGTGTGTAAAACTGACTACCTGACTGACACATTTGCAGATGGATTAATTAATTTCTGGGTAAGTAGGTCTGTCTGTAAGCCTGTCTGTCTATCTATTTGTCTATTTCATTAATTTAATAACATTAATTATGCCCAAATACGTACGTACGTACGTACGTAATAGTTTTTCTTCTTATTTATCCTTGCACTGGCCTTAAATTGCCATTTCTCAGTACTCACTGCACTCACTCACTCACTCACTCACTAGTTAAGCATACTGTAATGCTTGTTTTATTTTATTTCAACACTAAAGGCACTATTATTATTATTATTATTATTATTATTAATTCAGTTGCAAATCCTACTCCGTCATAATTACAACTACAGAAATAAGTAGTAAGCTTCATTTGAAGGAAGGAAGGAAGGAAGCTTACATCTCATTATCTCATA